ACATGACTGTAATTATATGCACTATATTGCATATAAGTATATATATATATATATATATTGCATTTAATTACTTTGAGTTAATTGTTTAGTGAAAAAGTTTTATTTTCGTAACTGTCAAACTATAGACCTATCACTCTAGTATCAGTATTCTCTAAGATCTTTGAAAAGGCCATACATCAGCGTCTTTTGTCATTTTTCAACACATTTAAAATAATAAGTGAAGATCAGTATGGTTTTCAGAAGAAAAAATGTACAAGTCATGCAGCGTTCTTTATGGTTGATGAAATATTGCGGAATGTGAACACTGGTAATTATACGTCTGTTCTATTTTTGGATCTGTCGAAAGCTTTTGATTGTGTATCACATGACCGACTTTTGGCAAAGCTGACGTACACTGGGATTAGGGGTCCCGCTTTAAGTTGGATAGAGACGTATTTAAAAAATCGTACTCAATTTGTAGAAACAAAACAATTAATTTCGAAACAAGTAGAACACACTTATAAGTCCGATTTAGAGGAAAAATGTTCCGGCGTTCCTCAAGGAAGTGTTCTTGGATCGTCTTTATTTCTGCTGTACATAAATGATTTACCTAAAATTATAAAGCATAAGACAATACTCTTTGCTGATGACGTATCAGTTATTGTAACGTCGGATAAAAGTGCTTCCTTAAAGGAACATCAAACTGAAATTATAAACACACTGATAACTATAGTCAAATGGCTTTCAGAAAATAATTTACAAATCAACTTGGACAAAACTAATTTAATGATAAAATAATTCGACATGTAAATAATACGATTTTCCTAGGATTTATAATAGTACCATGTTTAAATTGGAAGGAACATATAAATAAAATTAGCAATAAAATAAGTTCATTTGTCTTTGCTCTGCATAAATTATCAAAAGTTGCAAATAAAGCCACAGCTATTACAGCTTATTATGCTTATGTGGAAACGATATTAAGATACGGTCTTATAATCCCAGATTATGGAATGGCACGGACATTAAAAGAGTGTTTGTATGCTAAAAAAGGTGTATACGGGCAATTTGTAATATAGCCCCGGATGTTTCTTGTAGAACATATTTTAAGGACCTAAATATTTTAACTTTGACTTCTTTGTACATTCTCGAAGTAGCAACTTTTGTAAAGCAGCACTACTATTGTATACAGTCGCAAAAGATGTAACAGATCGAAGTCTGAGGTAACCTAATAAAATAAAAATGGACATAGTTCCGAAAACAAAGCGATTCCAAACAAATGCACCGGCGATGGCAATTAAAATATAATCAAATTCCAGAAGAAATTAAAAGCCAAACCTTTAATAAGTTCAAGTCAAAACTTCGTAAGTGGTTAAATGAAAACACGTTTTACAGTATGGTTGAGTTCATGAATTATGGTAGGATTTGATGCATGCGTTAAAGACATGCTTAATGGGTTTAAATATAACATTTAATTCTGATTCTTTACAAGACCATTCTAATTATGACATTCACATAATTATGGACATGATAAATTGACGACATCGAATAATTAAAATATTATAATAAGAATAATTGACATTTATATAGGTAATTGAATAGAAAAATTTGCATGTTATCTTTATATGACTAAATAGGTTAAGAGACAACTTAGATGAAATGTAACACCATTATTTGTACCCTATTTAATGCAAATAAATTGAATTTAATTGAATTGTGTAATCGATTACTGAATCGAAAACGAAAACTCTCTTTCTCATATTTCTCCGCTTCCAGATCGAGAATTGAAGTGATTTTTCATATTTTTCGATAAAAAAATATGACTAATTTTTTAGATCATATCTCAACTTATTACATTTGGGCCCACCGTTTTCCATCTCTATCATTCCTAATTGCAATACCCGAAAGGCTAGAAACATTTTCATCACCGTTTGGGTTGTTATAAAGTCCAATTATTCGTGGTACTTTCTTACGCCGTCTTACAACCTTAACATAAGAACGTACAAAATTATGCAATATACAGCAAGTTTTTACTATTTCTTCTCCGAAGTCTAATCCAACATTTAATGGTCTATGAAAAATGCGCCATTTATTAGACATGATTCCAAACGTGCAATCATATATCTTTTTGCTCGGCTTAGCCTGTAGTTATACATTCTTTGTTTAGGCAATAAGTAATTACCAGCATATGGACGTTGCATGTAGTTCGATAGTGGAAACATTTCATCCAATAAAAGTAAAGGGAAGTGCCATTTCGTTGTCTGTTATTTGTCTCGGTTGCGGAATATTTAAACGATTTTCGTCTATGTCATGTCCCAATTGGCTTTTCGTAAATATAATTGAATCTGCACTCTTCCCATAGGAACCAACATCAACATATATAAACTTGTAATTGGAGTCACATACTGCTAGCAAATTCATCGAAAAATATTTTTTATAGTTAAAATAAAGTGAGCCGCTGTGGCATGGCTTTATCATCCTGATATGTTTTCCGTCAACTGCACCGAGGCAATTGGGAAAATCTGCATTTTCTAGAAAGCCTTTAGCTATGTTTTCCCAGTCTTCGGTACGCTTGGGTGGCATACAAATATGAAATAAATTTTTGATAATAGTTTCATATATCTCCCGTACTATTTTTTGTATTGTCGAAAATCCTCTTCTAAGTGAAAAATGCAAGTCTATTAACACGTTCACTGCGTTGTGTGGTCATATTGGCTCATAGCTAATAACTTTCATTCCGTGCGCACCGCAAAATAGCGTTTACTCCCCTGATGCGGAAGGCATAACTTTGTGAGTTGCTATCGTAGGAAAGAGATACATATACCGTTGTTATTGTCACTTGAAGGTGAACAGCTCAGCATTTTTTAAAACTCATGAACCAATTTGACCTCACCCGCACTTAAAGAAAAATATTTAAATCTGGTGCGGTGTGTGGTCAATATGACCAAGTTATATTAAAAATAAAACTCACAAATATGGTGTAAAGTTGTATAAAATTTGCACCCCTGAAGGGTACACATATGATATCCTAATATACACTGGAAAAGGTGAAAATGGACGTGAAATCAATCATGGACAAAACACAGTTTTAAAACTCGTAAATAAACTGAAAGGACACGGACGAATCGTAATAGCTGTCAATTTTTACACCTCAATTAATCTAGCTGAAGAGCTTTTATTAAATAAAACATTCCTTTGCGGTACAATAAAACCAAACAGAAAAGGACTGCCAAAGACTGTAACAGCTACAAAGTTAAAAAGGGGAGAAATTTGTGGAAAAATGAATAAAAAAGGTGTTAGGGATGACCCTAACACCTTGATGACAAATGGGTGGATAAAAGACCCGTTTCTATGATTAGTACTTGTAAAAATCATGATATTCGTATAAAAGATACTGGACAAACAAGAAGAGGCACTAATGAAAATATTAAAAAACCTGAATGTATATTGACCTATAATGATACAAAAAAAGGTATTGATTATAGCGACCAAATGTCTTCCTATTACACTACATTGAAAAGAGGCCTAAAATGGTACCGGAAAGTTGTAATGGAACTAATATTTGGCACTGCTATGGTGAACGCTTGGATAATTTTTAACATGGGAAAAGAAAAAGGCATGCCAAAGAAGGAATTTACTGAAGCCATTATAGAAAGTTTTACAGGAAAACCGATCTCTGCTGGTAAGTTTTTGTTCTGCGACTTTTACGCAACCCATTTTTCCCATTCAAACATTGCATTAATTCTGAATTGTTTCAACCGAAACATCATTGCTGCAATGATGTTTATTATGACTGTGGTTGATAAGTTTTGAAACAAAGTTAAAATAGATCGTTTTCTTCGCAATCTGAAAGGTTATAATGACCTTTTCACTATTTTTTATGTCTCTATAAAACAAACAATTACAAAAGACATGAAGACACTATATATGAATAAGAAAAAGAATGATTTTTAACATTAAAAAACAATAACATTAACACAACAACAACAACATTATCATTCATTTAATGATTTTAACATTTTTTTTTTATTTGACAGAGGCATATATTCCTAAATACCTACAACTGCAAAAGAGGTACTACTCTACACAATCTTCAAAAAGCTACTCTGAAGAATTGTAAAGGGACAAGTTGGTAGCGGGCGACATGAAGCCGCAACAAACGACGTGTCGCGGCGACACTACTGATTTCTATGTATTTCTATGAATTATTATCCGACGCGTCACTAGCTTCATGTCGCTTACTACGGATGGGATTTCATAGAAATACATAGAAACCAGTAGTGTCGCTGCGACACGTCGTCTGTTGCAGCTTCATGTCGTCCGCTACCAACTTGTACCTTAAAGCATAATTTATGCTACGCTATGATGCTTAAAAAAATTATGCTTCTCTATGCAAAATAACTCTATTCAACTTTGCTCCGTAAAGTTATAACAGAAGTAAAATTCGCAATAATTCATAACACGTTAGTAATCTACGAAGTGATAAACTTTGCACATATATAAAAATTGCCTGCGAAAGCTATATATTACGCTAAATTAACAAAACGCTCACACACTAACTACACTTCTAGTTAAATCAAGCCATTTTGCCTAGCTAAGTTGCACAAAGAAATCTATGCTACTTGCATCAAACAGACAAAATTACGCTACTCAATGCACGATCGCCTGTTATGTAGATGGACTATATTACTCTTTAATAACATCACAGCTGATGGCCGGGTAGAAACTGGTTTCTACCACTCTAACCTCTCGCATCGTTTCTAATATGCCTGTGCTTGCTGAGTGGTGTGATGAGCATGTCTTTTAATTTTCAGTTATAAATGATAAGTCCAGGACAAATCACACCCTTGAGAAAGATACCAAAAGAAGAAGATGCACTGGCTGTTACAATAAATTGAGATTAAGGCTTTCTAGTATTGAAGCAGGGAAAAAAGTAAAAAAAGTGCCTACTCTCTGCAGGCAATGTCAAAAATATTTATGTTTGCCATGTTTCAATGAAGAACACAAGTAAGTTTCCATGTCTGTCTTATTCATAAAAAGATAAAATAGGTTTATTAGCTTGTTATAATGAAAATTCCGAAAAGCATTATGCATAAACGTCAAATAACGCTAAAAAGCTTTGTAAGTATTCAATAGCGGCTTCGTAACTTATAACAAGGTCGACCCTGCTATAAAGCTTTAGACTTTCCAATTCTATTTCTAGCTTTTTTTTTATACACAGAAATATGGTTTGTTTATAGGTTTGTTTGTTAAAGTTTGTTGTCGTCGTTCGTTCGTTCGGGTTGTTATTTATAAAGAGCTGTGAAGTAGAGATAGAGCCTGTTTCACAATCTCTGAGTAAAGTTCTAAGTAAGCTACTTCGAACTTATCTGCTCAGTAAACAATTCTTTACGTTTCACAATCTCTGAGTAGGGGGTTAATTACCACTTCATCTGCTCAGTAAATTGATCGTCGGATGCACTGCCAAGCTTAGCTGCCAAGTAGCCGTTTCTTGACAAGTAAATGTAAGAGAACATAACCTCAAATACGACATTCATCAAAAACATATGCTTTTTTAATTTAAAATGAAAATTTTTGATTTTACTTAAGATGAGTTTGACGATTTTCAAAGCTTTTGTTCTACGAAATTGGACACTGCTTAAACTGTTTCTGTAAATTTAGTTTCTATTCTTTGCCAACATTGTTCTTTTTCCGCCCAAGTAACTGCATCACTTTTTTTATTTTTTAAAACGTGTTTATTTTCATTAACGTGTCACATTCCTCTCGCGTAAAATTACGACCGCTTTCCCGTTTTGTAGTCATTTTTTAAATAACACAATGTTCGTAAATTATCATATTAGGACATAATAGTTCAAAGAAAAATCTTACGCTATTTAATGCACAAATTATTATTGCTTAGCAATTGGTATATTACCATTAAGAAATAGTATTTCATTTAATTTTGAAGAACCTAGGCGGTTACGTCTTTCATTAAGTACACATCCAGCTTTAGAGAAAAGATTTTCGGATGGTACTGATGTGGCAGGTATTGACAAATATTTTTTTGCCAGCATCGATAGACCAGGAAACATTTTTCATGATCTTGCCAATATATTAATGGGTCATGGTTTCGGTTAAAGTAATTTTGTTTCTATATATTGTCTCACCATAACCAGTGCCGTAGTACTTGGTGTTTCATAATTTCTTTGTTGTGATGCTTTTTCATCGAAGTATGACCACAATGATGATGACTGGCTATTATTCTTGTTTCGTGGTGTACTGGGAGCTACTGTTGGTTGCACTGTGTGTGTAACATTTCAATGTTACATTTTTTCGCATAAAGCTCGTCAGCTCATCTAGTACCCACTGTTGACCATTGTTGGCATTGTCATCACGACCAAAACCAGTTTTTTTGAACCGCGGATCCAAAAAAGCAGCCTTTGCTACAACCCGTGTAGTTTCTAGCGTCCCAATCCTACGCGTAATCGCTTCTGATAATGTTGCCTGCAGATGTAATCCTGTATCTGTCAATGGTACACACGATCGAAGCGCCAGTCGTAAACCCCTTATAAGAGGGACTATTGTGGACATTATAACATATTTTTCACCGGAAAGCTCCTTTGTGAAATCTAAAAAAGACTTAAGAATAGGAAGACAATCTTTAACAATAGCCCACTCGTTTCAAGATAAGTTTACTGGAGCTCGGTCAAGATCTGTCAGAGCCAAAGTCAGTGGTTCTTTGACCTGAAGTAAACGTTCGAACATTATGTAGGTTGAGTTCCATCTAGTGGTTACGTCCTGTTTTAAAATGAACTCTGGGAGACTTAGCCAATTTTGATTTTCCTTAAACTTATAGGCGGCCGTAGAGCTTTGTTTAAAATATGTCACCAAGCCTCTGCACTTTGCTATTAAATCAGTCATAACCACTAGGGCGTCGGTAACCGTAAGCGCGTTTATCGTATGCGCGACGCACGGATGATGATGTTTTCTTAAGTCGTCTATTACTGCTTTCTTCATATTTGCGGCGTTATCGGTTACCACAGTAACTATTTTGTTGTATACGGGTATATCATATTTATTGCAGATATTTTTAATCACTTCAGCGGTGTTAGAGCCGGTGTGAGTTACTTTCACTTCTTCCGTAGCCAGGGTTTTAGAGTGTAGTTTATAATCATAAACATAATGAGCTGTTAAGCTTAAAAAATCTTTGTTGTTGACAGCTTTCCAATAATCTGTTGTAAGAGATATATAGGGAACTAGTTTTAATTGTTCAGCAAGTTTTTTTTGTTCAATTGTATGTATGTATGTAATATCTTTTCCGATAATAATTTCCGCGATGGTAAAGTGTACTTTGAGTTCAATTTATGTACAAAATTTCTAAATCCAGCGTCTTCTACCACTTACAGTGGCTGAAAATCTTGGAAGATCATTCCAAAAACAGCTTGATCCAAATCACGAATGTCATCGTCGTTAAGATCCTTAGTTTTTTCGGTTGCGCATAATCTTAGTTGTCTTTTACGCTTAAGATTCATACGATCAATAGGAGCTGGAGTATCAATTGTTTGTTGCGCTGGGATGGTAATATTGTTAGCCTGACTATTATTTTTTAAATTTTCAGTTGGAGTCTCACCGATCTGTCGCTGCCTATTGGAAGGTACACCTAAACGTTCTGCCTCTTCTTCTTCCAACTGGATGGGATGAACCCTTTTAAGGTGTTCTTTAATGTTCGATGTATTACTGTGATACTTGTAAGCTTTTCTGCACAGTTTGCATGTCACGCTTTTTTTGTCGGCAAACAAATCAAAAAATGACCATACGATTGACTTTTTTAATGTAAGCCGAGGCATTGTTAAACAACTGTAAGGTAATACCATCACCGGAATTTTAAATTTATAACACCACCACCGGAATCACCAAAGGTTCTGCAAACAATAAATTTTCAATAATCGATAAAAACGAAAAAGCAAGTTATTACGTTTTGTCTCGCTATGTTCAACTTACGCGCCAAAAGTACAAAAATGACCACTTTCACAACTAAATATGTTGAGATTCCGTTGTATTTACCAGATAAATAGGTATTTTGTCACAACCAATAATAAACAAATTCACTGCTTTATATATTTTTCACTGCAAAAATAATAAATATTAACAGACACAAGACTATCGTAGTAGGCGCCATGTATGAACGTACGGAAACTAACTGAACTGAGCTAACGCAAAATGATGAGCGAACGAATGAATAACCTAACCTTATTCGGTTATTCGTTGTGCTCTTGTAAATTTGACATTAGTATTACTAATTAGTAGTCGTTATTCGAATAATGACATTAGTATACTACTAATTTAACTTTCGAATAGCCAAATTAGTGGTAACGAATTAGTCGAAAGGTAAAATCATTCGTAGTCGCGCATCGCTAGTAACAATGTCTATGGAGAAGCTCTTGTCAACATATAGAAAATTTTACTTATACAAATACGAGGCATTTATGGCATAAAGCGTGAAATATATGTGTTTGACAAAAGAAATAGACATATTCCACTCAATGCTAAAATATCATAGAAATCTGTCAATAGTTTAGGCACGTGCCAATTCCGCCATTTTAGGCAACGAGTTTTGTGGTAGTTGTTCTGTCATCAGTGTGTTTACAATTTGGAAATATTGATAATTTACGGCTTTATTACGAGAAAATTTGTGCATAAATACGTAGTAGTGTGGAACTAAACTAATCTAAATAGGTTTTTGTGGTATCAAAATAATTAATGTTTATTTTATTTTTAGATTTGTATAAATTGATTGAAAATGGTGGTTAGAGGCTATCGGCAAAGAAAATATTAATTCTCGGTAAAAAATTTGGCACCTCTGCTCACTGCATTTTAAGGAAAGCTGTTTATTAAAACACTTAATGTAAGACGTCTTCGTGAAAACTCATTGCCGACAATTTTTCCATATCCAATGAGTCTTATTTATAAAACATATGTCAATAAATGACCATCATATTTTCAGCCTAGTCACACACAACTAATATTTTAGTAGTTACAACTATTAAGTAAAAACTTAAATGCTTGCCTTAAAATCGTTCTAAATTTAATCTAAAGTGGTACCTGCTCGTCAAATAATCGAGAAAATTGGATCTTTGTAAAAAAATATTTGTGTGTTGTATTTTGTGTATTTACTTTTCAGCGAACAGCCATACAAGAGAAATCTGTTCTATGTGAAACAAGCAATATTAAGACTGCTGTTGCTAGCACATCTGCTGCTTCTTTTTCGTTCCTATTACCAGTTTCAGAAGAAGTGAATATAGAGGTATGTAAATAAATCATTTTTTTTATTTATTTGAAATTATTTTCTTAAAAGTGGTAGGCAGAAACATATACATAATAGTAAATCAAAATATACATAATAATTTAATATACAGGAAGTGATTCTGCCAGCCTACTGATAAAACTAAATAATAACAAAAAATAAAAAATCTGTAATGAATTTTCTTGTGTTTAATATAGATTCCAATATAAATAGTTAGTATATTTATTAACATTGAATATTTTCGTAATTTCAGGTCGTTAAATGTAAAAAAATTAAGACTGAAAGATAAATGTTTATAGCAGCAGAAGAAAATAAAATGCCTGAATGAAAAACTTTGACGTAAAGAGAAGAAAATTGCCACTTTGAAAGATGTTATTGAGGCTCTTTGACAAAAAAGTCGAATTAGCATGGAACAGGCTATTTTGATCGAAGATTTGGCAGGACCCCAGGACTTCTTAAAAAGAGAAGTTATGAAGACGAAAGGATTACCTCTGCCAAATAATACTCCGAAGATTTTGTATTAGCTGTACATTTTTTAATCCCAAAAGCTTACAATTATGTAAGCCAGAAATATAATACTTGCTTACGTCATACAAGAAAATTGTGTAAATCAACATGTGAATGCTGAAGCAGGTTTTACTAAAGAAGCATTTGATACCTTAAAGATAAAGGAAGAAGAGTGAATATCCTTCTGTAGAAGAGTGAATATCCTGTTATATGCTCCTTAGTTTTTGATGAGATGTCCATACGAAAGTCACTGATTTGGGATCCAAAAACACAAAAGTATTATGGCAGGGTTGATTATGGACTGAATGTAGATAGTAACAGCGTTGATGAAGTCAGTCAAGCTCTAGTACTCATGCTGACATGTATAAATGGCTCTTGGAAAATACCCATTGGTTATTTTTTAATAACATCCTTGACAGGGGAGCAAGGGAGTGTTATCATTGAAACTGCTCTCAAACTATGTGAAGATGTAGGTGTGAAGGTGGTCAGTATAACATGTGATGGCCCTGCAGCAAACTTCAGCATGTTTGCATCCCTTGGCTGTGACGTATTAAAAGACCAGGAAGAGACAAATTTCGAGAGTGGTAATACTCTTATCAATGCTTTTATTGACCCTTCTAATGCACTAAAATTGATACGGAATGCATTTGGGGAATTAAAAACTTTCATAGATTTTCATGGCAGAAGAGTGGATTGAAATATGTAGAAGAGTTGCTGAAACTGCAAGAAGAAAAGGGCTTATATTTAGCAAATTAAAAAAGCAACATATATTTTTTCAAAAGCAGAAGATGAAAGTTAAACTGGCCACCCAACTCTTTAGGAGCTCTGTAGCTGATGCTATTGCCTTATGTCGTAGGAAATTAAAATTAAAAGAATTCGAAAATTGTGAAGGGACAGTTAATTTTATAATTATCATGACTGACCTTTTTACTGAAAAGTCATTCCATCCGACCACCTGGATTTAAAAAAGCAATGTGCCCTTCCAATATTGGATTTATAAAGGCTTTATTTGAAGGTGCTAATGAATATTTGAAAAACTTAAAATTACCATCAGGAAAATTACTCATTCATTCCCGTAGGAACACAGGCTGAATAGTGCGTTGAGATTGTATAACTATTTGGTAGAAGACACAAAAAATCTTAAATATATGCTCTACAAATTGAGTCAAGACCACATTGAGCTCTTCTTTTCAGCTGTGAGAGCTAAAGGGGGGTTTAACAATAACCCTAATGCAGTGCGGTTCCGTGCAGCATACAAAAAATTGCTAGTACGAGCTGAGATTCAGGATGACGGAGTAGGAAATTGTTTCCCGCTAGAGCAAGTCACTATTTTGACATGTTCAAGCAAAAACCCTATCTCAGCATTAAATGAACTAACAAAAAAAGTCGGTTTTACGGGCGAAGATTTTACGTGACAACGTCTTTTTCTCGGTAGAATATTTATTGATATGAATATAATTAAATTGCACAATAGGAACAAGGAATTGAATGAAAATAAGAATTGCACAAATTTTAACTATAGAAATATATATAATACGTCAAAAAAACATATTACAATGCATTGTGCTTGTGAATACCATCGTAGCATGCAACCACGCTACGACGATTCGTAGCAAACTTGCTACACGGCTACGGGGTTCCAGCATGCTACGAGACTCATCGTAACGTTACCGAGCGTTACACTTTTTCATAAGTGACTCCCAGCCGCAACCTAATTTAAGACGTTGTCACGTCAAAAAGTTTTGCTGAAATTACCGAAGACCACAGTGATTTATATGAGAGATATATTGAGAGCATTTTGACTTCCAATGATTTATATACAGATTATGTATTCGAATATATATCAGGATTCGTAACCAAAAAGTTAAAAAAAATGCGATGCTTGCACATTACTATTATTAAGAGAAGAAAATACGGAAAGCTTAATTCACAAAAAATCAAGAGGAGGTCTT